CCATTCAATGCATTTTTGAAATTGTACTAAAAAATCATTTCTCTTAATCTGTATTCAAATAAACAATACTTATGCTTAAGCAAATAATGGAATTAATTTCGTTTTGCTATCACAAAGTGTTTCCGATTCTTGTGAATGCAGGCGTTTTCTCTTTGAAATGTCATTACTTTTAAAAAATTAAAGTTTTAAGAATCCTTAATAAGGGTCCTATTAAAAAGCAATCAGCCAAACAAAACGCTTTGATATCTCTTAATTACAATGTAATTATCAGGGGAATATTTCACACCTTCATTCATGATGTTTTTTTATGTTTACCTTAATCACCAGTAAGTCATGCATAGTTCGAGATTTCCGGTGTTGTGCAAGCGGGAATGAAAGAGAAATGGCGGTTTCCGGTAAGCATTTCAAAAAACGGTACACATTTTTGTTTCCCGTGAATTTTGGTGTACCGCCATGAGCCCGTGACTTGAGTCGAAAATACGCAACATTTTGTGTACCGCCGGTACATATCACATGTGTGCAATAGAAATCATCAGTAAAATCTTGAATTAAATATAAAAATCCATCAAATCTGGTAAAACCTCTTTTGTTAAGTTTTAAATAATTCCATGATATTTATTGAATTTCAATCACTGAAGTTATGTATTAATCTTTTTTAAATGCATACTTCAAAGGTAATGCATTTAAAATTTAAAATTACAACAGAGAAAGAAATATAATTTAAATCATTCCATCTCCCAACACATTTCATTAAACTGATTTTTCATATGATCATTAAGTGTCTTATAACCTAATTTCCTCGTTTGAATCAAAAAAGAGATCGTTCTATTTTTATAATGACAATATGACATTGTGTTTTTTTACCATGGAAAAAGGCAGACATCAGCAAACAGACTCCAAAAGTTCTCCTGGGTCCAAACCTGTCTCCTAACGGCCCCAACAACATCTGTAAACAAGGGATAAAATGTTTAAAATAATAAACGAGAACAGTAACCAGAAATATATACATACACAGCATCTGTAAACAAGGGAGATAATGTAGCCAAGATAAATGTCCTTATAAATAAATGGATGCGTATTTATGGCTTGCCACTTTATACCATTATTTTCCACTTTTAAACACTGAGTACTTCAAGTGTTGGAATATATTATAAATATTGTTACACACCACATAATATTCAAAATGCTTTTGAAAAGAACAAAAGTCTAAAAAAAAAAATGTTGTTCAATCCCTGATTATTTAATAAAATTGTTATTGACTTTTGAATTTTGCCTCCTCCTGTCTTCCTTGAGCCCCAGTCAACCAATTCCTGACCATGTCCATATAGTCACTAAAAGATCTCATCAAAGTCAATAGTGTATAATATTATCTGTTTCTAGTTAGTCTTACTATATAGACTTTAACACTTACCTGCATTAGAGCATAAGGTAGCAACAGAGCCGTATCTAGCCATCCTAACTGTGTTTTACCAATAGAAAGTGACTCTTCTAAGTCTGTCTTCACCTTAAATGAAGGAAAATTCCTCAAACTGTGAATCATGAAAGAAAGGATTTTTTAATAAAAACATTTATAATTACATGTACTGTTTGTTTCAAGTCGAAGTATAAGTTTTCACCTTGTCTAGACATTGCTTTAAGAGCTTGCAGTGCACTTTGTTCCGCTAGCTATTGTATTATTTTATGCTTTCATCATGTTCATGATAAAATGTAAGATTTCATAAGTTCAAAAACATTCGTTATAATAAGTACTTTTAACCTATTATATGTATAAACCATGTCCTCTGGGTAACATTACATACTGAAACAGTTGAAAATGCATGACAATTAAAATATAACCATTTACACTTTACAGCATAAAAACTGTTATATGAATAGAATGTTTTGCTTGTATGGTTCACTAGGCTGTACTAGGGATCGAGAGACTTGAATTCCGTTATTAAAGCTGGACACAACTCGTAAATACTTATAGGTATACACCATTCCCGATATCATTATCTACACCAGGGTATATTCTTTGCATTCATTTAGTCATTACATCTGATTGCTTTATTGTCACGGGTATCAGCGTGGAATGGCAACACATATTGTTCATAGCGATGCTGGTTATCGTCAAGACTTGCATTACCTTTGTTTACATTTTACTGCGATTGATGATTGACATGGTCAGAGGTCCAATTATTAAGGTGCTAATGATAAATATTGGGGTACAAAATTAATTAACAGTAGTTAAATTAATTAATAATTTAGCAGTATTTTTTCGATCAATCCTACAGTTTACCAGTGTGAGTACAGTGACCCTACAACATGGAACATGACTTGTAGTCGTACATAATCGTATTTTCTGATTTAAACATGTTACATGCACTTAAATGATTGCTTTGAACACAAAAAGTTTAATATGTAGAATTCTGTTATCACACAATAAACTTTAGCGTTCAGAAGCACTTGCGCCAAAGCGCTTAAACTTATCAAAATAGACTTGTGTCATATTTTCTCTTTTTACAGTATCTTTTTGAATAAAAATAAATTTTAGTTTTAAATGAATAACTTCATGAGTATTTTGGGTGAATATAAAATTCACTCTCTAGAAACACTTACAACACCTAGAGGTTTTCGCAGCAAATACGTGGAGGCGTAAGCGAGCCATCCCAGGATAAAAATGACGGCCTGTCGTCTCTGTAGTGGCGTGGACAACATCCTGCTTCAACAATCAGCGGCCAGACCAATTATCTGTTTTATATCTTACTTCGCTCAGATGTAACATACAAAACACAAGGAGAAGATAGGTACTCAAGATATACCTGAAAAATATAGGGTGTTGTCTGCAAACCATGCCGAAAAATATGAGGAAATTCGAGATACTCAGATAACGTTAGTATGTTTAATTTAAACTTAAAGCTCTTCATATAATCGCATGATAAAAAGAATGATACCTCCTTAAGTCATTGCTGTATGTTCTTTGTAGTCATCAGGACATGGGGAGAATCATCAGAACTATGCAATATCTTCTCCCAACCGACCACGACTCCAAAGGTAAACAAATATTAGATTAACTCCCCTTTTTCCTTGCTCTAACATTAAGTCGTTCTTAAATTATTTCGTACCAATTCATATTACTTTCAATGATGTGTATTACACATTCAAGTTTTCAACTTACTTTCTTAACTATTCTTTTGTATGACTATCAGTATGTGGCCATAAGTGAGTCATAATTACATTTACGCTATATATTTCATTGAAAAACCAATTTTTATAAAAACGTTGTGGAGTCAATTATAGCTCAATTTTCATGATTTTTACACTGAATCATGCAGGATGAAGCGTTACGGTTTTATATGTTTGTCTTTGACTCTACAGATTCCGTAATGCAAAAAAGGTGCAATTTACGGCGCATATTTTTGCACACTTTTGGGAAGAATTTCTCCACTTTCCAGCATCGGTTAATTAACTAGGCACATTATTTAATTTATCTGTATGTTATCCATCTCCAACCCTTCCAGGCTGAAGCTAGCAGCCAATAACTGCAGCCACTAAGCCCGTAGAAGCTAGCAGCCAATAAGGAAATTCATCAAAGAACTGAGAGTACTCAGAGGCAGTACTGTTTTTAATACTTTATTTCAGATAATTAAGGGTTAATGATTGGATAATTAATGCAACAATTAATTAAATAATAAATCAGACACTCAGAGGCAGTAAGGCTCACCTGACGAAAACTGAAAAAAACTGAAAAAAAATTAGAAATGAATTACTCAATCATCTTAGTCCACTTAATCAAACACGCACTAGGAAATGGTTAACTACTTCAAGAAGAATACCTTTTCAACTTTTTCAAGGACCTCAAGAATATGACAGGGCCAATAAGCTAACCTGAAATTTGGTTACTCTAACGATTGTAAACTGAAATATTGCACAAGTGTAAACTACGTTGAAGTATGTTTCGAACATTATATCTCGGGCAACTTTATGGATCTATAAGACTTTTAATAAAAAATAAGTGATGGTGCCACCAAGTGGTTCCAAGAACATTTTTAATATTACAGGCAGGTATTATACCCATGATTTATAAAGTGCCCACCATATCATAACTAGGGCAAGGTAGAAGGTCCAAAGGACAATTATTTTCTGCTATCAGAACAAGGCTATAGTGGTACCACCAAGTGGTGCCAAGTGTCAAGCAATCAATTATCATCAGTTATTGACCACTTGAAAAAACTATAACTGGGGATGGATTAAGGGCCTTAGGAAATATCCCTTGTCAACCTTTCAAAGGGTCCCAGGGACCAAAAAGGGCCAATAGCTAGGCTTTAACATTATATCCCAAAAAACCTATGAGAGAACATCTATTCTTTGAAGTGTGAAGTCTTTCAAAATCGGGCTGTAGTGGCACCACCAAGTGGTGACAAGTACGTGGGGCATATTTCAAGCATTCATTTGTCCTCCATTTCTGGGAACCTGTACCATCTATCAAGGGGGATGGGTCTTAGGGGTATCCCCTGTCAAGGTTTGAAAGGGTCCCAGGAACTGGAAAGGGTCAGTTAGCTAACCTGAACTTTGATGTTTTTCATCATTGTATATTATGAAACTGGAAAAGGGCAGCTATTATACGCCTTATCTTTGAAGTGTTCACCAAATGATTACCGGGGCAAGGTAGAGGGGTCCTAGGGCTATCATTTCCCACTTTCAAAATGGGGCTGTAGTGGCACCACCAAGTGGTGCCAAGTGCGTGGGGCATATTTCAAGCATTCATTTGTCCTCCATTTCTGGGAACCTGAACCATCTATCACTGGGGATGGGTTGAGGGTCTTAGGGAGTATCCCCTGTCAAGGTTTCAAAGGGTCCCAGGGGCTGGAAAGGGCCAGTTAGCTAACCTGAACTTTGATGTTTTTCATCATTGTATATTATGAAGGTGGAAAAGGGCAGCTATTATACGCCTTATCTTTGAAGTGTTCATCAAATGATTACCGGGGCAAGGTAGAGGGGTCCTAGGGCTATCATTTCCCACTTTCAAAATGGGGCTGTAGTGGCACCACCAAGTGGTGCCAAGTGCGTGGGGCATATTTCAAGTATTCATTTGTCCTCCATTTCTGGGAACCTGAACCATCTATCAAGGGGGGTGGGTTGAGGGTGTTAGGGAGTATCCCCTGTCAAGGTTTCAAAGGGTCCCAGGGGCTGGAAAGGGCTAGTTAGCTAACCTGAACTTTGATGTTTTTCATCATTGTATATTATGTAGGTGGAAAAGGGCAGCTATTATACGCCTTATCTTTGAAGTGTTCATCAAATGATTACCGGGGCAAGGTAGAGGGGTCCTAGGGCTATCATTTCCCACTTTCAAAATGGGGCTGTAGTGGCACCACCAAGTGGTGCCAAGTGCGTGGGGCATATTTCAAGTATTCATTTGTCCTCTATTTCTGGGAACCTGAACCATCTATCAAGGGGGATGGGTTGAGGGTGTTAGGGAGTATCCCCTGTCAAGGTTTCAAAGGGTCCCAGGGGCTGGAAAGGGCTAGTTAGCTAACCTGAACTTTGATGTTTTTCATCATTGTATATTATGTAGGTGGAAAAGGGCAGCTATTATACGCCTTATCTTTGAAGTGTTCATCAAATGATTACCGGGGCAAGGTAGAGGGGTCCTAGGGCTATCATTTCCCACTTTCAAAATGGGGCTGTAGTGGCACCACCAAGTGGTGCCAAGTGCGTGGGGCATATTTCAAGCATTCATTTGTCCTCCATTTCTGGGAACCTGAACCATCTATCACTGGGGATGGGTTAAGGGTTTTATGGGGTATACCCTGTCAAGGTTTCGAAGGGTCCCAGGGGCTGGAAAGGGCTAGTCAGCTAACCTGAACTTTGATGTTTTTCATCATTGTATATTATGTAGGTGGAAAAGGGCAGCTATTATACGCCTTATCTTTGAAGTGTTCATCAAATGATTACCGGGGCAAGGTAGAGGGGTCCTAGGGCTATCATTTCCCACTTTCAAAATGGGGCTGTAGTGGCACCACCAAGTGGTGCCAAGTGCGTGGGGCATATTTCAAGTATTCATTTGTCCTCCATTTCTGGGAACCTGAACCATCTATCAAGGGGGATGGGTTGAGGGTGTTAGGGAGTATCCCCTGTCAAGGTTTCAAAGGGTCCCAGGGGCTGGAAAGGGCTAGTTAGCTAACCTGAACTTTGATGTTTTTCATCATTGTATATTATGAAGGTGGAAAAGGGCAGCTATTATACGCCTTATCTTTGAAGTGTTCATCAAATGATTACCGGGGCAAGGTAGAGGGGTCCTAGGGCTATCATTTCCCACTTTCAAAATGGGGCTGTAGTGGCACCACCAAGTGGTGCCAAGTGCGTGGGGCATATTTCAAGTATTCATTTGTCCTCCATTTCTGGGAACCTGAACCATCTATCAAGGGGGATGGGTTGAGGGTGTTAGGGAGTATCCCCTGTCAAGGTTTCAAAGGGTCCCAGGGGCTGGAAAGGGCTAGTTAGCTAACCTGAACTTTGATGTTTTTCATCATTGTATATTATGTAGGTGGAAAAGGGCAGCTATTATACGCCTTATCTTTGAAGTGTTCATCAAATGATTACCGGGGCAAGGTAGAGGGGTCCTAGGGCTATCATTTCCCACTTTCAAAATGGGGCTGTAGTGGCACCACCAAGTGGTGCCAAGTGCGTGGGGCATATTTCAAGTATTCATTTGTCCTCCATTTCTGGGAACCTGAACCATCTATCAAGGGGGATGGGTTGAGGGTGTTAGGGAGTATCCCCTGTCAAGGTTTCAAAGGGTCCCAGGGGCTGGAAAGGGCTAGTTAGCTAACCTGAACTTTGATGTTTTTCATCATTGTATATTATGTAGGTGGAAAAGGGCAGCTATTATACGCCTTATCTTTGAAGTGTTCATCAAATGATTACCGGGGCAAGGTAGAGGGGTCCTAGGGCTATCATTTCCCACTTTCAAAATGGGGCTGTAGTGGCACCACCAAGTGGTGCCAAGTGCGTGGGGCATATTTCAAGCATTCATTTGTCCTCCATTTCTGGGAACCTGAACCATCTATCACTGGGGATGGGTTGAGGGTGTTAGGGAGTATCCCTTGTCAAGGTTTCAAAGGGTCCCAGGGGCTGAAAAGGGCCAGTAAGCTAACCTGAACTTTGATGTTTTTCATCTTTGTATATTTTGAAACTGGAAAAGGGCAGCCATTATACGCCTTATCTTTGAAGTGTTCATCAAATGATTATTGGGGCTAGGTAGAGGGGTCCTAGGGCTATCATTTCCCACTTTCAAAATGGGGCTGTAGTGGCACCACCAAGTGGTGCCAAGTGCGTGGGGCATATTTCAAGCATTCATTTGTCCTCCATTTCTGGGAACCTGAACCATCTATCAAGGGGGATGGGTTGAGGGTGTTAGGGAGTATCCCCTGTCAAGGTTTCAAAGGGTCCCAGGGGCTGGAAAGGGCTAGTTAGCTAACCTGAACTTTGATGTTTTTCATCATTGTATATTATGTAGGTGGAAAAGGGCAGCTATTATACGCCTTATCTTTGAAGTGTTCATCAAATGATTACCGGGGCAAGGTAGAGGGGTCCTAGGGCTATCATTTCCCACTTTCAAAATGGGGCTGTAGTGGCACCACCAAGTGGTGCCAAGTGCGTGGGGCATATTTCAAGCATTCATTTGTCCTCCATTTCTGGGAACCTGAACCATCGATCAAGGGGGGTGGGTTGAGGGTGTTAGGGAGTATCCCCTGTCAAGGTTTCAAAGGGTCCCAGGGGCTGGAAAGGGCTAGTTAGCTAACCTGAACTTTGATGTTTTTCATCATTGTATATTATGTAGGTGGAAAAGGGCAGCTATTATACGCCTTATCTTTGAAGTGTTCATCAAATGATTACCGGGGCAAGGTAGAGGGGTCCTAGGGCTATCATTTCCCACTTTCAAAATGGGGCTGTAGTGGCACCACCAAGTGGTGCCAAGTGCGTGGGGCATATTTCAAGCATTCATTTGTCCTCCATTTCTGGGAACCTGAACCATCTATCAAGGGGGATGGGTTGAGGGTGTTAGGGAGTATCCCCT